ATTCCATAAACAGCTCAGAAATATACCTACCAAATTTTCCAAAACTAATTAGGTGCTGGCCTTCCTGGAGGACACCAGAATTAAACTATATTTGGAGTATTTGATGTCCATTTCTTTTTCCTACCCTCCTTTCTTCCTCCACCCCCCCCCCCCAACAAAAAGTTAGAGAAACATTTCAAATGTGAATTATCACCAACTTTTCAAATGCTCAAAATGTTCATGAGATGTAGGGTTGTTATTTCACCAGTAACAACATTGTCCTCTGGCGAAGATATCTGTAAGAAATTTCTGCCACCCTTTGAAGTAAAAGTGTCAATATTAAGGTTTCAATGGAAAACCTAGTTACAACCATAAAATGGTGTCTCCAATATGGCTTCATAACTCAGTACTTATTTCCATCAGTGGATTAACTGTATGATGTGTCATGGTGTGTTCATAATGTGATGACAAATCATTGCTATTTTGTGTGCATTCTTTTTCAGATAAAAGGGTAATGGATATCATTGCTAATTCAGATGCTTACTTGGAGGACCTTTTCACAGACTATTATGAAAAAGCTGCAAGCATGACTGATATCTCTACAAGCTATCTCAGAGAAGGGTCTCATATCCGGGTTAATTTACTTAATAACAACATCCCAAAAGGTCCTTGTGCCCTTTGTGGAATGGGAAAGTCTAAAAGAGAGACAGTCTATGGATGCCTAGAGTGTTCTTTTAATGGACAAAAGTATGTACGACTGCATGCTGTGCCCTGCTTTGATGTCTGGCACAAGAGAGTGAGATAAATGATCTATGATCTATTGTTATAGACTTCAGTGTAACTGTGCCACAAAATTTCCAAAATTGTTGAATATTAAGTGCAACAGACATTAAAAGTGCAAAATATTTGGTTATGCTATTTTCTTTTTTATTGTAAAGTGATTCTTTTATTTTACAATAAAGATAATTCTATTACTGAGTGCAGAAATGCCCCATATACAGCCCCTTCAAAAAATTTGCTACTTTTTTTCTTTGTGGCACTTTCTCATTTTATCATTCATGATAAATAATATATACATGTTGAAATTGAATTCCAGAGTAGCAATCAGAATATAGTTTGGAATTTACTATAAAAGCGGCTTGTTCACATTTGGTCTGTCAAGATGTTATATATTGCCTTAACTACACCAGAGTATGATGATAAAATGAGAACGTGTAATAATTTAGTGCTATCATGAATGTTTAATTGAAATATCAGATTAAAAGCACATTTAAAAACTAGCTCAGTTTAAGGTTTCATTTACAAGAGGGAAAAGTTAAAAGGATTGCAACTGGTGATTATGGATTCCATTTTAGGCTGTGAATTCACCATATGTCTATTCTGATTATATTTGTAGGGACCACAAACAAGTCTACGGTTTGCACTTGGGTAACTCAAATCTGACTTTTTTTTTTTTAAAGCCTTCAGACTTGCTGCTGACTTTAGTGGCTTTGACATAGTTGAAAAAAATAAAAGAAACAAAATTATATTGCATTGCAAAACTAGTGTACTGAATCCCGCTATTACATCTCAGGTCTAGTAGCTGTATAGCCCAATATCACAAATTAAAAAGTTGTATGCAGTCAAGTTGTAGCTGTTGCAATCCCAGGATATTGGATAGACAAGGTGGGTAAGGAAATATCTTTCATTGGACGAACATCTGTGATCCTGGGAGTTCCCTTCCAAGATTTGAAGAAGAGCTCTGTGTGGCTCAAAAGCTTGTGTCTCTCTCTCATCTACAGAAGTTGGTCCAAATAAATAAAAAGTTTTCATAGTGGGGAATGCATGCAGCAGAGGGCACTGCAGTGTAGAATATTGAAATTTGGCAGTGCTAGGCCCTGCTAGAATGTCTGCCTGACCTGCTTGGTGCTCTCTTGATGCTGCAGTTTATAAGTGAGGAAGATTAAAATTCTAACTCCCTCTATCATAAGTAGAAGCTGTGTATATGTGGCAGCCTTTCTGCTTCATTCTGGTGCTGCTAGTTTCAGCATGCACATGCTTTAGTGGAAGCTTACAATTAATGTGTAGTCTAATTATTACGCATTCAAATAAAACACAGTGGTGCTTGTCTCTTTAGAACGTAAATGCTGTCAAATTGACATTTTTGCATTTCTGTGTATGGCTGACTGTCTATAAGGTGGTAACTTTTGAATGACACAGCTACTCAATTCCAAAATTCCAGGAATTGGTCTAGGCAGCAGTGATTGGAATCCTACAGCTTTGGGGAAAATCAGAAACCAAAAGGGGGGAAAGTAGGGACCCAAGGAGCCAGTGCTGTTGATTTAGGATAGTTATAAGAAACTCTGCAGTTGTCTACAGATCAAGCAACTGGTTGATGGCATCTATTAATGCGTTCCAGCATAACAGTACTGCCCCATCTCCCCTCTGCCTAAAGAGTTTAACATGTTTACACACTGAGTGACTTATCTCCTAGACAAATAATAATGATAGGGGGAATGGGGTGTGTGCACACCGCAGCTGGCATAAGGGCAGGGAGTGCTCAGAATCCCTGGTGTGGGGGCAAAATTGGGGATGCTGGTAGGAGGAAAGGGGGCATACACATCCCCTAGCATGTGATGACTAGGAGCAACCAGTGCTGTTGGCAATGAGGGGGTGGGGGAGGCAGGAAGGAATGCTCCCAGAGCCTCTGATATGTGGCACCTGCCATAGAGGATGCACACACAACCCCTGGCAGAGGAGAAATTGGGGAAAGCTGCAGGGAGTCCCTCAACTAGAGGATGGGATGGTGGCATGCATGGGATAGAATGGAGGAATGCAGTGAGCCCCTGGGGTGCACAAGAAGCTTGTCCTACAGAAGCTATGAATGGTGCGACTAATAAATTAATGCTACAACGCATTAACTTGCATCTCTATGCTGGCTTGTCCAGAAGTGCTTGAGCAATCCTGACACAGACTCCTCTTGCCCAGGGCCAGTGTAACCACTAGGGTGCCAAGATTCGGTGGCCGCCTAGGGCGAAGATTTGGGGGTGCCAAAAAGCGGTGCCCCCCCATTTTTTTTACACTATTGCTTAGGGGCAGGCACCTGTCAGACTCCAGCGCTCAGGCTGCGCCAGGGCCAGCAGCCTCTTCACCTTGGAGTCGCCCCCCCCTTGCCTGGGGGCCACTCCTCCTCTCAGGCTCCCCAGCCGCTGCCGCTGCCCGGGAGGACATGGGCAGGGGGCGCCGCCGCGGAGGAGATGCAAGGGGCCAGGCTCGCTTGGGGCCCCGCACCTGCTGGCTGAGAGCAGCAGGAAACAGGCGCTGTTCGTGGGGAGCCGGGCGGCCCAAGCCCAGGGCGGCAGCAGCAGCAGGGGCAGGCGGGGAGCGTAGGCGCCCTGGGCTCCATCTGCCTAGCTCCTCCCGAGCGGCGCCCGGTTCCTGCTGCTCTCGTTCCTTGCTTCTCCTCCATGGCGGCGCCCTCCCCCCCGCCCGCATCCTCCCGGGCGGCTGCCGCACCTGAGACAAGGATTGGCCCCCAGGCAAGTGCTGGAGACTGACATGTACCAGCCCCATCCCGGCACCGCCTGCCCCCCACCCCAGTGAGTGTTACCTGCCCCATACTGTCAGCCTCCCCAAGCTCACTATGACACCAGCACCCCTTGGCAAAGGGCCCCCTGATCTTCACAAACAGATGTCACCGCAGGCCTGACAAACTCACTGCACCCCACACGTGTCTTACAGGGCACTTGCCCACAAAGAGGAACGTGGAAGGGATCTACAGAAGGCTGGTAACTTGTCAAGAGTGAGAATCTTTGTGAGATGTGTGCATGGGTAATGAAGGAATAATGTATTTACCTTAAAAGTCTGCTTTACAGACTTGGCATAGAAATTAGTCACCAGGGGATAATGGCCCTTTGGGGCAAGAGGGATTTGTCACCCTGCCTAACCTGGCTGGTGATGCAATGCAAGGCTCAATTGTTTAGCTTTGCACAATAGTAAGAGTTTGAATGGGACACCATCAGAGGCAATGTCAAACAACTGAAATGCCTTAAAGGTCAAAAAGAAACATTACAACAGCCATTATCCGTTCTGTCAAGCTGTTTATAATGTTAAGTTTACTAGTTTTTGGAGGTTGGGGGGGGAGGGGGGGCAGAAGGGGGGGGGGAGTGCAAGGTGGACGTTTCGCCTAGGGCACAAAATATCCTTGCACCGGCCCTGCTCTTGCCAGCAGCATGATTAAACATGACTGGACAATTTTCATTTAAACAACATTTTGACCAAAAAATGTGACATCATTACAAAAATCTCAGCATAAGTATTTCAAGTAGGACAGTGGGTGTAACGAAGGCATAGATTAGTTTGGTATGACTGAACCACATGGTTCACACCTGTTAAGACTATCTGTGTATCTGGCATTACAGATTTTTTTTTCATAGCATTTATATAGTTATAGCAAGTACATTTCAGCTCACAATTGGTTAATTCTATCACCAAGCTGTTGAATCTAACAGGCTTTTTGGGGGAGGGGTGGGTGAAGGGGCTAAGAACCATATTAAAATAATTTATAAGACTATGGACTAGTCTAATACTTTTGTTGCAAAGGTCTCTAAAATACCTTTCCACGCTACTAGAGGAAATTGAGCTAGAAGTCTGCAGAGAATAACCATGTTTAAATACCACGGTTGGTCTCATCTTAGTGTGGTCAGAGCCTAACTTCCCCAACAAACACTATTCAACTCTCATGGGAACAGAGCTCATAATTTTGTCTAATTTTCTTTATTGTATGTTTTCATGATCTTTCTCAACCTTAATGGGGGTTCTGTGTTCCAAGAAATCCTGTTTTCCACTTCCTTCTTTTGCTCTTTTGTTTCAGCGGTGACATTGAAACCACACCTTTATTCTGTGCGCGCTAATATATGGATTCTAATTGTATCTGACACAAGAAGAGTCACCTAATTAGTGCTCTGCTTTAGTCAAGCAGAGATGCTAATTTCAGCTAAATCAGGTCCAACAAACTCACAAAATTTTATATCTGAAATAAGGATTGTGTAAAACAGACTATGCCTTTTTATAATTTTATTTCTTTTGTAAAATATATCATAGTCTATTACTGAAATGTTACTGGTAAGATTTTTAACACTCATCTTAAAAGGTATAAAAATTTACCATAAAAAAAATGTAAAGCATCATGTGACAAAATGAAAGTTCATTTTAGAGATTCTTTAAATCTAGGGTAAAGAAAGCAGCCAGGAGATTTTAGAAATAATTTGCTATAGTTCATCATGCTGATAGACATTGTACTCCCTTGCAGATATGAAGCCATCTCCATCATGGTCATTATTCTTAAATATATCGGCTAAAATAGAATCGTGAACTGATGCATCACGTTTTTTACCATCTCTTTCAAATTCCTCCTTCAAATAATGGCTTATCTAAAAGAAAAAAATGAAAACATTATACTAAACATAGCTCAGAGTTCATTTTTGTGAGCTCATCATGGTAAATACTTGCATATAGGCATTCATATCACAAATGTAAAATGAAATCAGCTAAAAGCTCTGACACTTGAAACTCCAGAGCAAAAGTACACTAAAAGGAGAAAAACATTAGAAACTATAACAAAAATTACGTACTGAAATGGTTATCTCCCTGACTATCTTCTCAATATAAAGTAACAGTGCATAGTAAAACTCTTCAATGAATAGACACCTTCGAAGATATTTTCAATAGAAAACTGAGCTTGAGTGAAATGAGTTGATGTCTGACTAGTTCGTGGTTGGCAAATATCTCTATCATGAAACCATAGTTGATACTCTTGTTGGCTGTTGCAGCAGACAGGACAAGAATTTAGTGGGTGTAGAGTCTGAATTAACCTCTTAAATGTACTAATCGACCATACACATTTCAGTACACTCATTCCTCAAAAATGGAGACTTTAGACACTGCCCGAGAGTGAAACAAATGTTGCATCCTTGTAAATCTGGGATGTAGCCCTGTACATAGCAAAGTGAGAAGTAAAAGATGGAATCAGAGGCAGCTCATATAGGGATAATGCATGCTTTGGTTTATTGGTAGTGGTATATATATGTGATCTATTCCAAGTCAGTTGACTCATGTTACCTCATCTCGAGAGAGTTTCTTGTCACTGTCCATGTCTATTTGAGTAAATGCTTCAACACTGCGTGGTCCTTTATTCACTGCATACAGTTCAATCTCAAATATCAATGTTGCATTAGGTGGAATCTTGCCTTGTGCTAAGAATATTAAAAAAAACATTGGTCAAAGCTCATGCTACTGGTACATACATTCATACAGAAGTATTTCTATTATCTATTAGGAATAGGTTAACAGTGTAATTTTCCAACTTGTGTGATACCCAAATAATATTCTGACCCCTGGCTTTAAATATTACACTATTAAGCCCTTCTGTGGGACTCCTTCCTACCTCATTCTTGACCCAGAGCAATCCTTTCCCTCACTGAACCCAGGACAACTTTCCTTACCTTTGTCTTCAGGGAGATATTGCCTGGTGGCCCATTCTTTGGGTTTTGCAGCGACATGGGTCCTTATTCATCAGGTGTGCCCAAACCCAATACTGCAGCCAGAGCAAATGCTCTTGGACACTGCTGTGCAAGCAGTACAAAGCTGAGGGAGAGTCACCTTAGGATTTTTTTAGCTCCCAAGGTCTCTAAGCTCATCTCACTATTGGAAGGTATGGGTGTGGGATAGGAGTGTTTCATGCTTTTCCTCTTTCCACACAATTGGAGGAGGCAGCCTCCAGCTCTCTTAGAAGACGTTAATGGATTTGGGGGAAGGCAGCAGGCAGACCCCCATAAACACTGAAATGCATGATGAGAGAGAAGGCCAGCTAGCCCACAGCAGAATGCAGGAGAAATAGGGGGATCTTAGCCACCAGGAAGCTCACAGAAAACATCAAAGGTAATGTATTCAGGGGTCTTTTTCAGAGAAGGAGGTTGCTAGCAAAAGGGAAATGAGAGGGGGTTGCACTGGCAATCCTGATATTCAGAGACAAACGTTTTCAGGCACTATTTATAACATTCTATTTCTCTGAAACAAAATTAATATGTGGACAGATATTATTCACATTGTTCATCCCAAGTGTCCAGACATTTAAGTAAAAATTTGAAAATATACCTCAAACTATTAAAAATCCTCCTTAGGAAGCCTTGCATTAAGAAAAGTTTTGGAACACAATAGCATGTACAAATGCTCCTTACAAGACTTCTTTTGAAGTCCTGACAATTCCACATGCCAGGCTAAAGTAATGTGTTTTTACTTTGTAATTTAAAAGCAACAGTCGGGTTTGAAAGGATTGTAGAAATGGAGACAAACCGGCAATAAAAGCAGCCAAGTTCTGCTAAAACATTTTGATATAACTGCATCAACTGTTAAGGAATTTACAAATAATAAAATATAATTTGAAATATTCACCTAATTAGGAGAGAGGCTATAGACACAGGCTCAAGAATTCAGAATTCACGCCATCTGATCAACACAGGAAAAATGGGCTATAGGAATAATCTGCTCAGTTTCTGAAGACAGACTGAAGGTAGGTTCTAATATTCCTGTGTCAAAGCATCTTCTAATATCAAAGTTGTAGAGGAAATATTAAATGCAAAGATGGGTTACTGTTTCATGCTTTCTAAAAGCAAGATACTGAAATGGTAGACAAATAACAAGAGTGGATCAATGAGGTCTAAAAAGTCAGCCAAAAACATGCATTTGACAAACCATGCAACATGCAGTTAATGTTTAAACACACAACTGGATCCTAATTATATGCTGGCTCACCTAAAGCTAGTATGTAGGCTAGTCTATCATCAGAATTTATTTTTGAGTTTCTACATATCCTATTATATCTGAAGATTAAAAATGTAAATCGGCTTTCTTTAACGGGTGGGCAAACAAACTGGTATTACTGGTATTTGTTATTTGAGATCTCTATAATGAATAAAACGGTATTGAGAGGCTTCAGTTTTGACTACAAAACATGTTTTGTTAAACTGTTTCAATTCTGTAAATGTCTGAAATATATTCCATATATTTGCAACAAGTTTATCTAACATTTATTAATATAAGCTAACTAGGCAGACTTTGGTGCAAGTAATTTTAAGAATTATACATACCAGAGAAAAAGACATGTAAAGACCTAAAGAGCCACATGCAGCCTGACTAAGTCAAGGTTAGACAGTCATCTTCCCCAGCATGCAGGAATATGCTAAGACAGAGGACAACCGTGTTGTAGGAAAAAGTCTTTCTTCAAGCACTGCCTAGAACAAACAGTTACATTTAAGGTTAGATTTTAATAATGCACTTTTTATTTTATATCAATGATTTTTCTTGTTGCTACAAGGCAAGATTTGTTCATTTCTTGTTGTAAAATTCATTCCTGGTGTAACTCTACCGCCTTCAATAGAATTACATCAAGGATGAAGTTGGCTCATGGAATTTTGACATGAATAAATGATCAAACTATGATCACAGAACAGCAGCAGCAAGTTTAGTCAATGTCCCATGTTCCCAGACAAACCTGGATTACAAAGAACTAAAATATGATATTGTCCATTCAGCTGAAATGTTTCATGATAAGATTTTAAGACTCGAGTCAGCCCATTAGTCTCATATATTGCATACCTAAATATCATGCATTCAGATTAGGTTTCCTGTGCTCCATTCAGTGGGGTAGTGGTGACTGCAACAATTATTATGCTGAGCTATTAAACTTCTCATTCAGTTAGTCCCAAGACAGTTGTTCAAACAAACAATGTTTCATCAAATTAATTCAGTGGTGTGTTGTGAATCTCACATTATTTTGATTGGGTGAAAATAAAAACGATTATATTAAAAGGCTAATCTGGCAGTACCCAAATCTTAGAAATTAAACATGAATGTAATGCAAAAGGAATAAGGATTTACATAAATAGGAGGAAATAATAATTAGTATAATATTTAATAATTTGTACTGAACTCAAAAGGCCTTTCTCGTAACCACAAAAACAGATATCTAAATCCCTGAAATTCCTATACAACGATAGCTTTCTGAAAATCTTATTTTTTTCCTCTGGCTGTCAGTGAACCATATTTATTTTCTCCCACAAAAGAAAGTTCTCCTCATGAAGTTGTATCTAAAGACCACTTAAAAATAACTATCAATTTACCCTTCCTGTTTGTCTGTTCCAATCCTAAATGAACTTTTGCAAAAATTCTTATATTTGGCTCTTCTGACTGCAAAAAGAGCTATTAGAGGCTCTGGAAATCAAACAGGAGTATAATCATAAGCACTGAAGTTATGACCTCTCCTTGCTGTTAGCATAGAACTCCTCATTCATGTGAAATAAGCCATCCATGAAAGCAGCACTGCAGTTGCTTGTGGAATTAATGTAAGTGATGTCACTGCACTTGGTGGAGGGTGAGACTAACTGTATTGTGGTGCTGGAAATTAAAGAGCTGTAAGCATGTTGTGTCTGGAGTGCTGGGTTGAAGATCTGATTCCTTTTGATAGGTTTTCAATTGTGGTTTCTCTTTTCAAAAAATAAGTCATGTATTAGATTAGATTGTAAGCAAACTGGATCAGGGACTGGCAGCACAATGAAGCCTCAATCCTAAGAGGGTACTCTGGATGCTACAAATAATACAAATAATAGCAACGAAAGGATGATCTCTCTATGTCCCATGGTAGGCGCTGTTCGTAGTTGTGGTGCTCCTATCAGAGAAATTCCTTGCTAGCAAAAGGGAGAGCTTATTAGCTGCGATTACAGGTTCAATTCTGCCAATACTTACTCCTGTGAGTTGGCCTTATTCACATGAGCAACCCCATTACATTCCTTGGGACTATGTTCATGGGTAAGAACTCGTATGACTAAGAGTTTGCAGGATCAGGCCCTGTAATTGCAGCCATCAAATAAACCCTCAATCAAAAAAGCTTGGATGATCAATCCTCAAGTAAATTTTTGACAACACTGTTTTCTGTCATTTATCTGAAAACATAAAGAGAGAAGAAAAAACAGATATGAATTTTAATTTTTTTACCATAGCCTTGCTTTCCATATGCTAATGATGGTGCAATTGTCACTTTCCGTTTTTCTCCAGGACACATATCCGTCATAGCAATATCTAATCCTTTTATGACTTGTCCAACACCCAGAACAAACCACTTTGGGTGACCTTCATTTTGTGTCCGACTACAAAAACAATAATAAGCTTTTAGCGAGTAGACAGCAAAAAAGTCAGTGTTCAAATGTATTTAAATGTTAAAGTGATTTTAAAAAAATACAATACCATCTCTGGAAAGTGTGACATTATTTAGATTACATTTTTTTAAAAGTCACAGTGAAGTGTATATTAAAAAGTAAATAACTGCCCTTTTTTATTTATATTGAAGTATTAACCTGTTTTTTCTGGTATAACTGGTTAAAAATCCTAAATTGCATACACAGGAAAGCTCCCATTGACTTGTTAAAGAACAAGTAAAAATTGAGTGCTAAAATTGCACCTTTCTGCAGAACGTAAAAGAGGGGCACTGGGTGAGGAAAACTCTATTAATTTCCCTTAGCAGAAGTTTTCCAAATCACACAACTGGGAGGAGAATGTCTTCTCTCCCTTCTTCTCCTCCCCCTGAAAACAAATACACAGAATGAGCTGCAAAACAGTGGATTAGAGAGGATATGCAGGATGACAGGCCATCCATCTGGTGGTTTTGTTCCTCAACACTAGAGCTGACCAATCCTTCAGCTCCTAGACAGTATGTCTCCATTGGAGCCACACTGCCAAGTGTCCCCTAGCATGCAATGCCTCTCCTCTCACCTATTAAATCAAAAAACCAATGTGAAAAGAACATCGTTAAAACTGCAAAAACAAGCACTCAAACAAGCACTGCCAATAACTTGCAGTTTCAAGAATTACTTAGATCTCCACCAAAACCTGTCAACACTACCCTATTTCAACCAGTAGCGGGCTTCCACGGGCGTCATATTTTGTCCTTAACTGAGCATGCTGCTTCCACACTGAAGACACACTTAACTGAGCATGCTGCTTCCACACATTTATTGAAGAATACAAACTAACGCATTGATCCGGCAAAGACTTATGCATGTGTGTACCTTGACACGCTATGAGCAAAGTTGCTCACGTGCATTGTGCCTCCTCTACACAAGAAAACTACACTATTTATGGCACTCTTAAATTGAAACCCACGTAAGAGGGTGCCACTGATTTAGCTAAATCAATTTCTAACAAAATTTAGTTAAATCAATACAATTTTCTGCAAGGCCTGAGTCTTTGCAGAATTGGGGCTTAATTTGGCCTAAATATTATATAATGATATCTACAGCATTTGTGGTTTGAAAGTATAGCTCTAGATATACATTTATATCATTCTAAACCGCACTGTAATTTTGGGCACTGCATACAAGTTGCTCTCCTGAACAGATTCAATATTATCAGATCTGCTTTAACACAGATTTAAAAAGAAACAAAAGGCTAAATGTTTGCCTATTTTTTATTTGCAGAGGAGAGGCAAATCTGGTGAAGAATGGTATAAATAGCAGCTATTTACCTGCAATAAAACTTGGATCCATCACTGGCCAGGTAGCCATCATAATGTGCATTAAGCAGATCCCCCTTCTTGCTCTTTGGCTTGCATTCTTTGGGCACATGTAAGACTTCGATTTTAACTTCTTCTGCAGTGGCATCCTCTTTCTTTTGTCCGTGCGTGTGGATCGTAAGAAGACAAAAAGCGTGTAAGAAAAAAACTAATTTGACTCCGAAAGCCATGCTTGCTAAACGCTCCCTCGCAGCCTTGTTCTGACTCAGGTTCTTAGTGCAGCCCCGGAGTAAGAGACACCCGCCCCCCACCCTGGCTGCGTGGCATTGTTCGACGTCAGGCTGACACTAACTGGGGCGTGTCCATCGTAACCTCCAAGACGCGGCACTGCTGCGCTCTGTGGGCTCAGCCAGGGCGCTACGGCCCGCCCACTTGCTCCTCCCCCATTGACAGCTTTCGATTGCTTGAGGTCTGCAAAGTTTGCGCGCGGTGCGGGGCTGTCGGTCTCGCGGGCTTCCCGGGAATTCTGTCCAGGACCGACTCCTTTGCCGGAGCCGCTTCCCTCCCAGGCAGAATTTCAAGTGTCCCCTGGGGGAGCGGGATGCATCGCCACCTCCGGGGGGCGGTGGGGGCTTTGCAGGGCGGGCGTGTTACCGTTTCTCCGCTGGTGCTGGGGGGATTTCGCGGGCTGTATCACAAAAGGTCTCGCAGGCCCTTGGGGCGGGGTGTTTGTCGTGTGCGCCCCCCAGGAGTTGGTGATGTCTGCACCGTCTCTCCCGGAGGGCGGGCAGGGGTGGAGGGGGGGGCGCGTTTCCACGTCTGCTGCCGCAGCGTTTTCCTTCATGTGCATCGGCTCCGTTTCGTTTTCACTCCGCTCAGCCGCAGCGGGCAGAAGCTTTAAGCGCTGCCACCAGTCTCACAGCGGAGGGGGAGGCTTCGGCTGAGAACTTGGCTGCCCCGCCGCGGGGCGCGTGTGTCTGGCCAAGGCAGGGCAGGCTCGCCCGCAGACACGGCACGGGTACGCTGGCTGCCTTAGCCAGCCCCTTTCCGGCAGGAAGTAAATGAAACGTCCGGGTCAATGGCAGCAAACGCGACGGCGGGGGGAGCGGGGAGCCAGAGGCGGCCGAGGAGCGGGGCGGGCAGAGCCTGCGGGGAGCTGGACACCGGCCGTCCCCCCTCCCCGGACTGCCATGTGCGTAGGACATGAGGCGCTCTGCCGCGCCTGCTGCCCCTGTGCATAGCCCGCTGCGGGCAGCATCTGCAGGGCCAGCCGGATACTGGGGCTGCGGTTGCTCTCGGCCCCCGAGCGGCGCGGCTCAGCCGTCAATGTCCATAGGCGGCTGCTGAGCGGGAGGGAAGGGGGAGTCTCTGCCCGCGCTGCCGCCCGTTCCCAGGAGGAGGATGCACGGAGCCTGGCCCTGAGCTATGGAAGGAGTCCTGTACAAGTGGACCAATTACCTGACAGGTACGGGCAGGGCGGGGCTGCTCCTGGCGCGCAGCATCGCTCTTGCGGGCTGTGCCCGGGAGTCGGCGGGCAGCGCGCCTCTGGCACGGCGGGGAGGATGGAGATGCCGGTGCAGGGGGATCTAGGTGAGGGTTACGAAACCAGCTGGCCTGTGGAGCTGTTCGCCGCTGTTTGAATCTAGCCTGCTTGGGCAGAAACGGACAGTTTTAGCCTCTGATGGCTGTTGGGGAGGCCTACCGGAGGGCGGATTGCTGGTCTCCGTTCAGGAGGAGCCTGTTGCTCCTGGGCTCGGGGAATCCCGCTGTGGTGCAGCAATGGGCGATGTCCGATTCTGTGAGTGAGTGGAAGATGTTACCCTCCAGATAGGTGATCTGCACCTTTCACAAGAACTGTATTCACCCGCGCCCACGTTTTCAACTCTTTCTTGGAGATTACTCGAGATTTGGGAGGTGTTGGGGTCTTTTTAAAATACAGTAGTTACTAAATCGCATGCTATTTTAATTGAAGATATGTTGCATTCTTACTCAGTATTTTGGAATGTACTTATATGGCCCCCCTTGCTGAATATAGCCCCCTGGTCAGTGTGTGCTAGTTGTCACTCTGTGTCTAAACTACAGAGGATATGGTTTTGTTACAGCTCTTAGCTTGAAAGCCTGGCTCTTAAACTGTAGAGGCTCAAGTTTAAAGCTCTGGGGGCCCCAGGTTCAGTCAGTGGAGGATTTGTATTGAATTTGGGCAATGGGCCTGTGTCCACACTAGTGCCTGGTAATGAGCTCTCTCTGTGTTATGTGAAATAAAAGAGTATTGCTTGTTGGGTTAAGCTTTTGAGGACCACAAGTATGTGAACAAAATGGCACGTGCTTTGTCAGTGCTGTGAACTTCTGGCAATCCACACATCTTAGCCAATTAAACTTTTTTGCACTTTTCACCTTCTCCGAGTCCAGGTAACCCTGTTCTGGGTGTGTTGGAAGCTAAAGGTGTTGCTGGAAAACTTTCTTTTGGTCTTCTTGCTGTGATCCAGAAATAACGCACAACCAATCAGGGCATGAAATGAGAGCAGAGTTTTCAGAACATTGGATCCATAGTGTAGTTTCTCACAAATGGCATGAATCATAGAATCATAGAATATCAGGGTTGGAAGGGACCTCAGGAGGTCATCTAGTCCAACCTCCTGCTCAATCCCCAACTAAATCATCCCCGCCAGGGCTTTGTCAAGCCTGACCTTAAAAACTTCTAAGGAAGGAGATTCCACCACCTCCCTAGGTAATGCATTCCACTGTTTCACCACTCTCCTAGTGAAAAAGTTTTTCCTAATATCCAACCTAAATCTCCCCCACTGCAACTTGAGACCATTACTCCTTGTTCTGTCGTCTGCTACCACTGAGAACAGTCTAGATCCATCCTCTTTGGAACCCCCTTTCAGGTAGTTGAAAGCAGCTATCAAATCCCCCCTCATTCTTCTCTTCCGCAGACTAAACATTCCCAGTTCCCTCAGCCTCTCCTCATAAGTCATATGTTTTCTTGTCCCCTAATCATTTTTGTTGCCCTCCACTGGACTCTTCCCAACTTTTCCACATCCTTCTTGTAGTGTGGGGCCCAAAACTGGACACAGTACTCCAGATGAGGCCTCACCAATGTCGGATAGAGGGGAACGATCACGTACGTCGATCTGCTGGCAATGCCCCTACTTATACATCCCAAAATACCATTGGCCTTCTTGGCAACAAGGGCACGCTGTTGACTCATATCCAGCTTTTCGTCCACTGTAACCCCTAGGTCCTTTTCTGCAGAACTGCTGCCTAGCCATTTGGTCCCTAGTCTTCCGTCCTAAGTGCAGGACTCTGCACTTGTCCTTGTTGAACCTCATCAGATTTCTTTTGGTCCAATCCTCCAATTTGTCTAGGGCCCTCTGTATCCTATCCATACCCTCCAGCATATCTGCCTCTCCTCCCACTTTAGTGTGATCTGCAAACTTGCTGAGGGTGCAATCCACACCATCCTCCAGATCATTTATGAAGATATTGAACAAAACCGGCCCGAGGACCGACCCTTGGGGCACTCCACTTGATACCGGCTGCCAACTAGACATGGAGCCATTGATCACTACCCGTTGAGCCCGACAATCTAGCCAACTTTCTATCCACCTTATAGTCCATTCATCCAGCCCATACTTCTTTAACTTGCTGGTAAGACTCCTGTGGGAGACCATGTCAAAAGCTTTGCTAAAGTCAAGGAACAACAAGTCCACTGCTTTCCCCTCATCCACAGAGCCAGTTATCTCGTCATAGAAGGCAATTAGATTAGTCGGACATGACTAGTCCTTGGTGAATCCATGCTGACTGTTCCTGATCACTTTCCTCTCCTCTAAGAGCTTCAGAATTGATTCCTTGAGGACCTACTCCATGATTTTTCCAGGGACTGAGGTGAGGCTGACTGGCCTGTAGTTCCCAGGATCATCCTCCTTCCCTTTTTTAAAGATGGGCACGACATTAGCCTTTTTCCAGTCATCCAGTACCTCCCCCGATCGCCATGAGTTTTCAAAGATAATGGCCAATGGCTCTGCAATCACATCCGTCAATTCCTTTAGCACCCTCGGATGCAGTGCATCCGGCCCCATGGACTTGTGCTTGTCCAGCTTTTCTAAATAGTCCCGAACCACTTCTTTCTCCATAGAGGGCTGGTCACCTCCTCCCCATGCTGTGCTGCCCAGTGCAGCAGTCTGGGAGCTGACCTTGTTTGTGAAGACAGAGGCAAAAAAAGCATTGAGTACATTAGCTTTTTCCACATCTTCTGTCACTAGGTTGCATCCCTCATTCAGTAAGGGGCTCACACTTTCCTTGACTTTCTTCTTGTTGCTAACATACCTGAAGAAACCCTTCTTGTTACTCTTAACATCTCTAGCTAGCTGCAACTCCAGGTGTGGTTTGGCCTTCCTGATTTCACTCCTGCATGCCCGAGCAATATTTTTATACTCTTTCCTGGTCATTTGTCCAATTTTCCACTTCTTGTAAGCTTCTTTTTTGTGTTTAAGATCAGCAAGGATTTCACTGTTAAGCCAAGCTGGTCGTCTGCCATATTTACTATTCTTTCTACACATTGGGATGGTTTGTCTCTGTAACCTCAGTAAGGATTCTTTAAAATACAGCCAACTCTCCTGGACTCCTTTCCCCCTCATGTTGTTCTCCCAGGGGATCCTGCCCATCAGTTCCCTGAGGGAGTCAAAATCTGCTTTTCTGAAGTTCAGGGTCCGTATTCTGCTGCTCTCCTTTCTTCCCTTAGGAACATACTTTGGTTCCTTTGATGTGCGAGCTTTCATCCAAAGCTGTCTACATGTCATTTAGCTATAGTGAGCCAGTGAAAGAATAAGCACACCAGAGTTCCTGGTTGCATCAACCACACTGATGGCATCACTGTGGACACACAGTAAAATTATTCTTGTGTCAGCTTCTTTTTGATGAGCTCGTAGGTGTCAAGTGTTGTTGTTGAGCACCATACTTCAGCCTTATTATGAAACCTAACAGCCAGAATAATAATTTTATCATGTGGTGTTTGTGTCAGTTGCTCAGATAAAAATATTGCAAGAATCTTCTTATTTTCTGAAAGCGCAGTGAGATTAATCCAGTTACTTGGAAGAGGCACGTCTGCCTTCTGCCGTTCTTCAGATGGGTCTTGTATCTCTTGAACATTTTTTGCCTTGTACCACCTTAACAGATTCCTTATAGCAGTGGTTCTCAACCTTTCCAAACTACCATAACCCTTTCAGCAATCTGATTTGTCTTGAATGCCCCAAGTTTCTCCACAATTAAAAACTATTTGTTTACAAAATGAGACATAAAAACCCAAAAGTGTCACAGCACACTATTACTGAAAAATTGCTTATTTTCTTATTTTTACAATATAATTATAAAATCAAATGAAATATTAATATTGTACTTACATTTCAGTGTATAGTATATAGATCAGTATAAACAAGTCATTGTCTATATGAAATTGTAGTTTGTACTGACTTTGCTAGTGCTTTTTATGTAGCCTGTTGTAAAACTAGGCAAATGTCTAGATGAGTTGATGTACCCCCGAAAGACCTCTGTGTACCCCCTTGGGTCTGCGTACCACTGGTTGAGACCACTGCTTTATAGTACTTATCCACACAATGTCTATTCTGTGGAAGACCTAAGTACTGTTTTTACAAATGTATCTGCAAGGCCTCCAAATGTTTTGGCTTCACATGGTTTTCCTATGGTTTGTACCAGAGCTTGTGCATCTGGCACCAGACTGCTTCTCCCAACAAGAGTAACTGTTGGCCAGTGGACATGAGCTGTCAGTCTGTCACGCAGTGTTGTTTTTGTCCCTGTTCTTAGACTGCCATTTGTCTGTGCTAGTGCCAAAGGGACGGGCGTTAACTCATGTTTAAAAATCTATTGCAAATTCACAGTCCTGCTAACTTCATAAGCTGTGACTAGTCGCTGAAGAATATTTCTGTCTGCCTTCATGGTTGAGGCCTTTTCTTTTATTTCTTTCGTCATTTCATATAGCATGGAAAAAGTAGGGAGCATTATTTTTTGGCAGTGGATCCTAAATGTGTACACATCGAGTCTCCCCCTCTTGTGTCATAAGCCACTTCTCCACAAAACTGTCCAGTTGCACTTGTCCTAGGATCTTTGCATTCAACAGTGCATCTTGTATGCCTTCAGTAGCCAGATCTTTTGTTGCAATATTTTTGCAATGAAGTGGGTGTTCCCCCCAGGAGAAAATCTTTAACCTTTGAATTGTTTGTAAGAGTACATCCTCCTCTTCACTGTCACATTGCTTCCCGGCCTTTCTTGACTCATAGTGAATAAATTGGTCTCCACGCCAACATGGAACATGGCTCTAGTGTTCATTGTGTATGGGCTTTCAAATTGTAAGACAAGGCCCATCTGCCAAGGTCTGAGCAAGTCTTGGTGAAGCCTACAGTTCCACCTTCTTTCTTTCCTATGCCATTGAACCACTCTTGGCTCTGA